TAACACACAATACCACAACAACAACAATTCACAACTAACACACAATACCACAACAACAATTCACAACTAACACACAATACCACAACAACAATTCACAACTAACACACAATACCACAACAACAACAATTCACAACTAACACAAAATACCACCACTACAACAATTCACAACTAACACACAATACCACAACAACAACAATTCACAACTAACACACAATAACCACAACAACAACAATTCACAACTAACACACATACCACAACAACAACAATTCACAACTAACACACAATACCACCACTACAACAATTCACAACTAACACACAATACCACAACAACAACAATTCACAACTAACACACATACCACCACAACAACAATTCACAACTAACACACAATACCACCACTACAACAATTCACAACTAACACACAATACCACAACTACAACAATTCACAACTAACACACAATACCACCACAACAACAATTCACAACTAACACAAAATACCACCACTACAACAATTCACAACTAACACACAATACCACCACAACAACAATTCACAACTAACAACAAAATACCACAACTACAACAATTCACAACTAACACACAATACCACCACTACAACAATTCACAACTAACACAAAATACCCAACTACAACAATTCACAACTAACACACATTACAACTACAACAATTCACAACTAACCCACATTACAACTACAACAATTCACAACTAACCCACATTACAACTACAACAATTCACAACTAACCCACATTACAACTACAACAATTCACAACTAACCCACAATACAACTACAACAATTCAGAACTAACACAAAATACCACAACTACAACAATTCACAACACACAATACCACCACAACAACAATTCACAACTAACACAAAATACCACAACTACAACAATTCACAACTAACACACATTACAACTACAACAATTCACAACTAACCCACATTACAACTACAACAATTCACAACTAACCCACATTACAACTACAACAACTCACAACTAACCCACATTACAACTACAACAATCACAACTAACCCACATTACAACTACAACAATTCACAACTAATCCACATTACAACTACAACAATTCACAACTAACCCACATTACAACTACAACAATTCACAACTAACCCACATTACAACTACAACAATTCACAACTAACCCACATTACAACTACAAACAATTCACAACTAACACACATTACAACTACAACAATTCACAACTAACACACAATACCACAACTACAACAATTCACAACTAACACACAATACCACCACAACAACAATTCACAACTAACACACAATACCACAACTACAACAATTCACAACTAACACACAATACCACAACTACAACAATTCACAACTAACCCACATTACAACTACAACAATTCACAACTAACACACAATACCACAACTACAACAATTCACAACTAACCCACATTACAACTACAACAATTCACAACTAACACACATTACAACTACAACAATTCACAACTAACACACATTACAACTACAACAATTCACAACTAACACACAATACCACAACTACAACAATTCACAACTAACACACAATACCACCACAACAACAATTCACAACTAACACACAATACCACAACTACAACAATTCACAACTAACACACAATACCACAACTACAACAATTCACAACTAACACACAATACCACCACAACAACAATTCACAACTAACACACAATACCACAACAACAACAATTCACAACTAACCCACATTACAACTACAACAATTCACAACTAACCCACATTACAACTACAACAATTCACAACTAACACACAATACCACAACTACAACAATTCACAACTAACCCACATTTAACAACACAACAATTCACAACTAACACACAATACCACAACTACAACAATTCACAACTAACACACAATACCACAACTACAACACAATTCACAACTAACACACAATACCACAACTACAACAATTCCACAACTAACCCACATTACAACTACAACAATTCACAACTAACCCACATTACAACTACAACAATTCACAACTAACCCACATTACAACTACAACAATTCACAACTAACCACACATTACAACTACAACAATTCACAACTAACACACAATACCACCACAACAACAATTCACAACTAACACACAATACCACCACTACAACAATTCACAACTAACACACAATACCACCACAACAACAATTCACAACTAACACACAATACCACCACTACAACAATTCACAACTAACACACAATACCACCACAACAACAATTCACAACTAACACACAATACCACAACTACAACAATTCACAACTAACCCACATTACAACTACAACAATTCACACACACAATACAACCACAACAACAATTCACAACAACACACATACCACAACTACAACAATTCACAACTAACCCACATTTCAAACTACAACAATTCACAACTAACACAATACCACAACTACAACAATTCACAACTAACACAATACCACCACTACAACAATTCACAACTAACACACAATACCACCACTACAACAATTCACAACTAACACACAATACCACCAATACAACAATTCACAACTAACACACAATACCACAACTACAACAATTCACAACTAACACACAATACCACAACTACAACAATTCACAACTAACACACAATACCACAACTACAACAATTCACAGCTAACACACATTACAACTACAACAATTCACAACTAACCCACATTACAACTACAACAATTCACAACTAACACGCAATACCACAACTACAACAATTCACAACCACAACTACAACAATTCACAACCATAACTACAACAATTCACAACTACAGATACAACAATTCACAACCACAACTACAAAAATTAACAATTACAATAATCCACAACTACAACAATTCACGACTACAACAATTCACAACCACAACTACAAAAATTCACAACTACAACTACAACAATTCACAACCACAACTTCAAAAATTCACAACTACAACTACAACAATTCACAACCACAACTACAAAAATTCACAACTACAACTACAAAAATTCACAACCACAACTACAACAATCCACAACTGCAACAATTTCACAACTACAACAATTCACAACTTCAACAATTCACAACCACAACAATTCACAACTACAATTCACAACTACAACAATTCACAACCACAACAATTCACAACTACAACAATTCACAACTACAACAATTCACAACCACAACAATTCACAACTACAATTCACAACTACAACAATCTACAACTACAAAAATTCACAACTACAACAATTCACAACTACAACAATTCACAACCACAACAAGAAAAATTCACAACTACAACTACAACAATTCACAACCACAATTAAAAAAATTTACAACTGCAACAATTCACAACTACAACAATTCACAACTTCAACAATTCACAACCACAACAATTCACAACTACAATTCACAACTACAACAATTCCAACCACAACAATTGACAACTACAACAATTCACAACTACAACAATTCACAACCACAACAATTCACAACTACAATTCACAACTACAACAATCACAACTACAAAAATTCACAACTACAACAATTCACAACTACAACAATTCACAACCACAACAACAAAAATTCACAACTACAACTACAACAATTCACAACCACAATTACAAAAATTCACAACTACAACAATTCACAACCACAACTACAACAATCCACAACTGCAACAATTCCCCAACTACAACAATTCACAACTACAACAATTCACAACCACAATTCACAACTACAATTCACAACTACAAAAAAATTCACAACCACAACAATTCACAACTTCAACAATTCACAACTACAACAATTCACAACCACAACAATTCACAACTACAATTCACAACTACAACAATCTACAACTACAAAAATTCACAACTACAACAATTCACAACCACAACAATTCACAACTACAACAATCCACAACTACAAAAAATTCACAACCAAACAATTCACAACTACAATTCACAACTACAACAATTTACAACCACAACAATTCACAACTACAACAATTCACAACCACAACAATTCACAACTACAACAATTCACAACCACAACAATTCACAACTACAACAATTCACAACCACAACAATTCACAACCACAACAATTCACAACTACAACAATTCACAACCACAACAATCCACAACTACAACAATTCACAACCACAATAATTCACAACTACAACAATTCACAACCACAATAATTCAGAACTACAACAATTCGCAACTACAACAATTCACAACCTCAACAATTCACAACTACAACAATCCACAACTACAACAATTCACAACCACAACAATTCACAACTACAACAATTCACAACTACAACAATTCACAACTACAACAATTCACAACCACAACAATTCACAACTACAACAATTCACAACCACAACAATTCCCCAACTACAACAATTCACAACTACAACAATTCACAACTACAACAATTCACAACTACAACAATTCACAACCACAACAATTCACAACTACAACAATTCACAAACTACAACAATTCCACAACCACAACAATTCACAACCACAACAATTCACAACTACAACAATTCACAACCTCAACAATTCACAACTACAACAATCCACAACTACAACAATTCACAACCACAACAATTCACAACCACAACAATTCACAACTACAACAATTCACAACCACAACAATTCACAACTACAACAATTTACAACTACAACAATTCACAACTACAACAATTCACAACTACAACAATTCACAACTACAACTCACCAATTAACATAGCAGAATATAAAGGTCACGTGATCTTGTTGTATCCAGGGGCCACTTACGTCACTTTTTTCCTGCTCTACAAGTTTATTATGAGTGAGGGGCCCCAGGGACAACAGGGGTCCCTGAAGGGGGTCCCTAAAGGGTATTTCTCTCACTAAACACAGGAGCGACGGGACCTACGTCCTCCCTCCATCAGCACCGACCGCAGACTGACGCTCTTCTCTCCCTTAATTCCTCCCTTGGCTAGGATGCCCCTTTGGTTGCCACATCTCACCCGTCACCCAATTACATCCCCTTATTTAACCCTTATAATGACCCCAAACCATCACCAAATCTATATTAGCAACTAACCTGCAGAAAATTAATGTGACATCAGTAATTAGATAAGGAAAAAATGCTCTATTTGAGGTTAATAATCTCAAAATAGGTGAGAGTCCTGCAGAGTCCTGAATATCCTAGTGCCAGGCGCTCACACGAGCCGCTGATTGGTCGAGATCATGTTGTTGTCACTTTCCAGTCTTCCTATTGGCTGATTAATCATATATACTTAAATACTTGTAGACTTGGTCACGCGAACTAACTCCATAAACTTTATGAATAAAACTAGTTTCTGATCAACCAGGTTGTGTTGCACAGGCAGGACTTTGTAGTAACACAGAGTAATACTTGTATTACCTGTGTTTCTAGAGTATTACTTCGAGGGTGGGTTGGTAGCGCACTTGCCTCACACATTGAGATCCGGGGATCGATCCCCGGTACGGGTGTATACATTAGGACGTGTATCCTTAAGGCACCTGCTGCGTATGTTCACCTAGCAGTAAGTAGGTACCTGGGTGTTAGTCACCTTACACCTGCTGTCAGTGTTCACCTAGCAGTAAGTAGGTACCTGGGTTTAGTCACCTTACCACCTGCTGTCAGTGTTCACCTAGCAGTAAGTAGGTACCTGGGTGTTAGTACACCTTACAACCTGCTGTCAGTGTTCACCTAGCAGTAAGTAGGTACCTGGGTGTTAGTTACCCTACACCTGCTGTCAGTGTTCACCTAGCAGTAAGTAGGTACCTGGGTGTTAGTTACCTTACACCTGCTGTCAGTGTTCACCTAGCAGTAAGTAGGTACCTGGGTGTTAGTCACCTTACACCCTGCTGTCAGTGTTCACCTAGCAGTAAAGTAGGTACCTGGTGTTAGTCACCTTACACCTGCTTCATGTTCACCTAGCAGTAATAGGTACCTGGGTGTTAGTCACCTTACACCTGCTGTCAGTGTTCACCTAGCAGTAAGTAGGTACCTGGGTGTTAGTTACCCTACACCTGCTGTCAGTGTTCACCTAGCAGTAAGTGGTACCTGGGTGTTAGTCACCTTACACCTCTTCAGTGTTCACCTAGCAGTAATAGGTACCTGGGTGTTAGTTACCCTACCACTGCTGTCAGTGTTCACCTAGCAGTAAGTAGGTACCTGGGTGTTAGTTACCTTACACCTGCTGTCATTTCACCTAGCATAAGTGGGTACCTGGGTGTTAGTCACCTTACACACCTGCTGTCATTGTTCACCTAGCAGTAAGTAGGTACCTGGGTGTTAGTCACCTTACACCTGCTGTCAGTGTTCACCTAGCAGTAAGTAGGTACCTGGGTGTTAGTCACCTTACAACTGCTGTCAGTGTTCACCTAGCAGTAAGTAGGTACCTGGGTGTTAGTCACCTTACACCTGCTGTCAGTGTTCACCTAGCAGTAAGTAGGTACCTGGGTGTTAGTTACCCTACACCTGCTGTCAGTGTTCACCTAGCAGTAAGTAGGTACCTGGGTGTTAGTTACCTTACACCTGCTGTCAGTGTTCACCTAGCAGTAAGTAGGTACCTGGGTGATAGCCACCTTACACCTGCTGCCACTGTTCACCTAGCAGTAAGTAGGTACCTGGGTGTTAGTCACCTTACACCTGCTGTCAGTGTTCACCTAGCAGTAAGTAGGTACCTGGGTGTTAGTTACCTTACACCTGCTGTCAGTGTTCACCTAGCAGTAAGTAGGTACCTGGGTGTTAGTTACCTTACACCTGCTGTCAGTGTACACCTAGCAGTAAGTAGGTACCTGGGTGTTAGTCACCTTACACCTGCTGTCAGTGTTCACCTAGCAGTAAGTAGGTACCTGAGTGTTAGTTACCTTACACCTGCTGTCAGTGTTCACCCAGCAGTAAGTAGGTACCTGGGTGCTAGCTACCTTACACCTGCTGTCAGTGTTCACCTAGCAGTAAGTAGGTACCTGGGTGTTAGTTACCTTACGCCTGCTGTCAGTGTTCACCTAGCAGTAAGTAGGTAATTGGGTGTTAGTCACCTTACACCTGCTGTCAGTGTTCACCTAGCAGTAAGTAGGTACCTGGGTGTTAGTTACCTTACACCTGCTGTCACTGTTCACCTAGCAGTAAGTAGGTACCTGGGTGTTAGTCACCTTACACCTACTGTCAGTGTTCACCTAGCAATAAGTAGGTACCTGGGTGTTAGTCACCTTACACCTGCTGTCAGTGTTCACCTAGCAGTAAGTAGGTACCTGGGTGTTAGTTACCTTACACCTGCTGTCAGTGTTCACCCAGCAGTAAGTAGGTACCTGGGTGCTAGCTACCTTACACCTGCTGTCAGTGTTCACCTAGCAGTAAGTAGGTACCTGGGTGTTAGTTACCTTACGCCTGCTGTCAGTGTTCACCTAGCAGTAAGTAGGTAATTTGGTGTTAGTCACCTTACACCTGCTGTCAGTGTTCACCTAGCAGTAAGTAGGTACCTGGGTGTTAGTTACCTTACACCTGCTGTCACTGTTCACCTAGCAGTAAGTAGGTACCTGGGTGTTAGTCACCTTACACCTACTGTCAGTGTTCACCTAGCAATAAGTAGGTACCTGGGTGTTAGTCACCTTACACCTGCTGTCAGTGTTCACCTAGCAGTAAGTAGGTACCTGGGTGTTAGTCACCTTACACCTGCTGTCAGTGTTCACCTAGCAATAAGTAGGTACCTGGGTGTTAGTCACCTTACACCTGCTGTCAGTGTTCACCTAGCAGTAAGTAGGTACCTGGGTGTTAGTCATCTTACACCTGCTGTCAGTGTTCACCTAGAAGTAAGTAGGTACCTGGGTGTTAGTCACCTTACACCTGCTGTCAGTGTTCACCTAGCAGTAAGTAGGTACCTGGGTGTTAGTTACCTTACACCTGCTGTCACTGTTCACCTAGCAGTAAGTAGGTACCTGGGTGTTAGTTACCTTACACCTGCTGTCACTGTTCACCTAGCAGTAAGTAGGTACCTGGGTGTTAGTCACCCTACACCTGCTGTCAGTGTTCACCTAGCAGTAAGTAGGTACCTGGGTGTTAGTCACCTTACACCTGCTGTCACTGTTCACCTAGCAGTAAGTAGGTACCTGGGTGTTAGGTGATAGGCGTGGGTGGAATCCTGGGAACAAAATTATCCTAATCTGCGGGAAATGCTGTACATATTACCTAGAAGGTGTTCTAGGGGGTCAACGCCCCCGTGGCAAATATGGGACTAGTCCCTCTAGGATTTTCCAAGTGTATATTATCATGTATCTTTCTCGCCTGCGTTCCAGGGAGTACAAGTCAAGGGACTTCAGCTGTTCCCAGTAATTTAGGTGTTTTATGGTACTTATAAGTGCAGTGAAAGTTCTCTGTATATTCTCCAAGTCTGCAATTTCACCTGCCTGAAAGGGGCAGTTAATGTACAGCAATATTCCAGCCTAGAGAGAACTAGTGATCCAAAGAGAATCATCATGGGTTTCGCGTCCCTAGTTTTGAAGGTTCTCATTATCCATCCTATCATTTACCTAGCAGATGCGGCAGACACACTGTTGTGATCTTTGAAAGTGAGATCCTCTGACATGATCACTCCCAGGTCCTTCACATTACTTTATCAGTCTACTGTGTGGTTGGAATTTGTTTTATACTCCGGTACAGTTAATTTCCTTATGTTTAACATACCGGAGTAATTGCTATTACATTACTTTTTAACAAGTCACTAGAGACTAGCACCTTCCCGAAACTACTCAAGATGGCAAGGGTTACACCAATACATAAAGGTGGTGACCCTACAGACTTAAACAACTATAGGCCAATGTCTAACTTAGCATTGCTATCCAAAATCTTTGAGAAACTCGTGCACAGGAGACTGTATTCATTTATAACAGCTCAAAACATACTCAACCCCTGCCAGTTTGGATTCAGGAAAAATAAAAGCACTAATGAAGCAATCATAAAAATGCTAGATCTGCTTTAACAAAAGCATTGGAAATAAGGAATATCCACTAGGAATTTTTATTGCCTAAGAAAAGCTTTTGACACAGTAAACCACGACATCCTACTCACAAACTTTATCACTACGGTTATAAGAGGCCATGCGCTTGCTTATTTCAAATCTTACATTACTAATAGGTATCAGTATGTCACCATTAAAGACACAGCATCAACAACAAAGGCCCCTTGATACTGGAGTTCCGCAGGAAGTGTCCTTTGGGCCCCTGCTCTTCCTCATATACATCAATGACCTTCCAAACGTATCCCAACACCTGAAACCCATTCTCTTTGCTGATGACACGACTTATGTCATCTCTCACCCTAATCTTGCCACCCTCAACACCATTGTGAATGAGGAGCTGATTAAAATATCGACTTGGATGACAGCCAATAAACTTACACTTAACACTGACGAAACCTACTATATTATGTTTGGTAGCAGAGCAGGAGATGCACAAATTAACATTAAGATCGACAACACTCTAATTGCCAGACATAATGAGGGCAAATTCCTTGGCCTATACCTCGACAACAACCTAAATTTTAGCACCCATATCCAACACATAAGAAAAAATGTATCCAAAACGGTGGGGATCCTCTCCAAGATACGATACTACGTGCTGCAAACTGCCCTTCTCACACTATATCATTCACTTATATATCCGTACCTCATTTGTGCTTGGGGATCAACTGCAGCAACACACCTAAAGCCAATAATAACCCAACAAAAAGCCGCAGTAAGAATAATCACTAAATCCCATCCCTGGCAACACCCCCCCCACTCTTCATAGATCTAAACTTACTCTCTGTTCAGAACATCCACACTTACTACTGTGCAATCTATATCTACAGGACCTTAAATTCCAATATTAACCTTGACCTAAAACGCTTTCTTGATAGTTGTGACAGAACCCACAGGCATA